GCAAATCGTTGGACCCTCGATCACTAAGGTTGCTGAACTGTTTGGTTTTTCAAGAGCTACCATATCAAGAACACTGATGCAATTTGAGAAACAGGGCAAGACCTCTAGCAACCGTAGCAATTCGGGCCGGACTTGCAAACTTACTGACAGGGACTGACGTGCATTGAAACGCAATGTGGCAAAAAATCATCGGACAAATGCGGCCAAAGTGACTGCTGAGTTGAATAACCATCTGAATAGATTTCTACTAAAACTGTTTACCGTGAGCTCCATAAGGTTCCATATCATGGAAGAGCTGCTGTGAGGAAACCTCTTCTCTCCACTCGCAACATTCAAAAGAGGTTGAAGTGGTGCAGGTTGAACAACTTTGAAGGTTGAAGCAAGTCATTTTCTCAAACAAGTCCAGTTGTTCTCTTTTTCCAACTTCAGGGTGAGTTTATATGTGGAGGAATCCCAAAGAAGCTTATAACCCTGACTGCTTTCTTCCAACAGTGAAGCATGGAGGTAGATCAGTGATAGTTTGGCCCGCCATATCATGGAAATGTCTCAATCCAATAGTTGCCCTGCATGGTAGAATCAACAGCAAAGATTACCTGAACATTTTGGGAGATCATGTTCATCCAATGGCCAAGACTTTATTCCCTGATGGTGACTGCATCTTCCAAGACGATAATGCTCCAATACATACCGCAAGAGTGGTTAAGAATTGGTATGAAGAGCATGAAAGTGAGCTAGAACACATGGAGTGGCCTCCCCAATCTCAAGACATCAATATTATTGAACATTTGTGGTGCATTTTGAGGCAACAAGTTAGGGGGCCGCTATCCTTCGCCGTCGTGTCGTAAAGAGCTGGAGAAGGTTTTAATGGAAGAATGACTGAAAATTCATTTGGATTTAAGTCAGGAAGCTGTATGATTCCATTCCTAGACGTATTAAAGCTGTCTGTGAGGCTAAAGGAGGACCAACTCCATATTAAATAAATTTTCTTTGAATTTAACAAGTGTTCCAATTATTTTGTCCAACCCCTATATATATATATATATATATATATATATATACATTTTTTTACACACACACACACACACACACACACACACACACACACACACATATATATATATATATATATATATATATATATATATATATAGGAGTACCACTTTAGGTTGGCTGTGAGTTTGAGGCCCGATATCCTCCTCGAGGTGACATTGAAGACATTCAGTTGAAAGTAATTTCCACTTTTACTCATTTAACTTTTTTTTTATCTTCTTTAATAATTTCATTATTTACATTATTCGGACTGTTATCCTCATCTTCATTTCCATATTCACAACGTTGCTGTGGTAGTACACTCCGGCCTACTTCAGGCGATTGGAATTTTCGAACTGGACCTTTTATTTCGTTCACCGGGGGTAGACTGTTCTAGTTCCACGTGCCAAGCCTTTGCTACTATGTAAATCGCATGGCTGGTCTTTACCATGAAGATTAGATCTGACGGAACCAAGGAATGTAGTTCGTCCGAGCACTTTCCATGGTAGTAGCGATAAAGCCGGGAGAGACTCGTTACATCCTGCCTGGGAGAAAGACGTTGGAGTGTGGAAAATTCTTCTTTTTCTGGAGACGCGTTTGAACCCTACCAAGACTGGAAAGTGAGGACTGGGCAGCTCCTGCACAAATATAGCAACAGTTCTTGATTTTGGGCCTGATCTGGTTTTTATAAAGGCAGGAAATAGCATGTGGAGTCAGGTACTTACTATTGTTATACAGGGAGCCAATCATTTTAGCTGCATCTTTAGCGATGGATCGTATATAGGAGTTCCACTTGAGGTCGGTTGTGATTTTGAGGCCCAATATCCTCTGAAGACACGGCGCCTGTATATCGTCGTATCATTGGCATAGACGTTTACAAATGAACGGAGTATATTCTTAGGTAGATCCTTTATGAAAATCAGAAAGAGGTTTCGTTCGAGAAGTGACTCCTGCATTGACCGCTAGGGTATGAGAGAACTGGCCGTTAATAACCACCTTCAGGGTTCTACTTGTTAGGGTGGATGTTGTAATAGGAAAACTCTTGCACTTATTCCACAGCAGGAGATCTTGTCGGAGGCTTTCATGATATCTAATGTTATAGTCCTTGCGTGATATCTAATGTTATGGTCTATGACATCAAAATCTGTGTGTAATCGTACTTAGGACATCAGCAGTGGATCGGGTTGATAGAAACCCATACTACACATCGCACAAGAGTCTGTTCCTATCCAGGTGCTCGACGACCTTCTTGTTGATTTAAGTCTCAAAAAGCTTAGTGAGGAGATTAATGGGTGTATACTAGGAGCGGGGGTGGGAGGATCTGTTGCTTGCGTTCTAGAAAACTGGGCATACGCTTTCCTCCTTCCATATATATATATATATATATATATATATATTCAAAACAGATATTGTTAAATATAACAGACAAGCACACTATTTACATTATTCAGACTATTTACCTAATCTTTGTCGCCATATTTATTACAACGTTGCGGCCGTTTTACGCTACGGCTTCTTCAGGTAGTTGTCGAACTGAACCCTTTATTTCGCTCGCTAGGGTAGATTGTTCTAGTTCCACGTGCCATGTTTAATGGATGTCAGTTATCAGTTATCTCCTGTTAATTCCCCTCTCCAAGTTCTCCATCGCCTTAACCAGGTATTGCACTCACACTCTTTGGTCCTGTAAAAGCGTTAGTTAGATCCAGTGAATTTACAAGTCAGTGTGTCTTTCACCGGAAAAAAAAATTATCATTATTCGGCCGCTGACGAAAACAAAACAAAATTTTTTAACCAAAATTTCGAACGAAAGAAAGGATTAAAAATTTTTTAAAAATAATAATAATAATAAAAAAAAATAATAATAATAAAAATAAAAAAATATTTTGGTCTTTCCTCTTAATAATGACGCAAACATTTTGATGACAAAACTTTGTTTTTATTGAGTTTGGGGCCTTTTTTCATCATGCTATACTGTTTTTTTTTCCGCGAAAAAATTGGAGGTATCTATGGAACTTGTGGATAGCCATGATCTGCGTCCTAAAGGTTTATAGCACGTGCATATAAAACTGTCATTTTTTTAAAGCATTTCACCCTAAGCAAGGCGGGATGCCACTAGCACGTAGGGGTTGCAGAGAGTGGGAACGAGAGTAAAGTGGAGTGTTCGAAGAAAGGATAAAGAGAAGGACAGAGACTAGATCAAGGCATCTGGAGATGTCGATTGACATTACATTTGAATAGTTGGAGACTAAAGCCATCAGGGAAACAAGTAATAGGAAGGGAATTCCACAGACGAGAGGTGCGAGACATGAATCTATTGGAGTAGAAGAGACGATTACATTTAACCGTTTCGACAATGAAAGGGTGGGGCCGTGATGTCAGCCTAGTAGCATTTGCGGGATAAAAGTAAAAGGACTTCGCAAAATTACTCTGAACAATCGTTGCTTGTTTTCCAGTAAAGCAGATTAAGATATAGAGATGGCGTGTTTGGCGTTTTTTACTCTTAAGTTTAAAGTTTTGAATGAACGTGGCTTCACCTGTTATGACGATGAAAATAAAGCTTCAGTATTTAGAAGTCACGTTGGTTTCCAACCTGAAACTGCAACAACACAAACGCCATGTTAACTATTTCTGAAACTTTCTATCCGCTTTCTTTGAAAACGATCAACGCTGATCGAAAATACCCGGATCTTGGCATTCAGTTTTGGCCAATTCCTTTACACGATTGCACATGCAAGAAAGTAACTAAATCCAAACCAGAAGAAAATCCAAAATATCACCATTCTCTGTTTCTTATTTTTTTTCAATATAATGTTCTCTTTGTACGATGCCCGAGAGCCACTCGAAGTAGAGGTTTACAGAATTTATGAGGATATGTAGGGATGAGAACAGTTAACCCTAGACCTCAACAGGCTAAGATTGTATTGATTGGGGAAATATCCTCTTGGGAGTCAGTTTTACGAAACAACGGTTCGTGGGAAGAAACTACTCGAGTTGAATTTTCATCTTACAAATGAAATACGAAGGTAATGAAGGTGATTCGCTAAATTTTTGTGTCATGGCGGGTGTTAGGTTGAAGGGTGGGGCTGGTGGAACTTTCCATTTTCTATTTAACAGGAAATGTTTGAATGAACGTTTGCTGCCTAAATATACTATATATATATATATATATATATATATATATATATATATATGTGTGTGTGTGTGTGTGTGTGTGTGTGTGTGTGTGTGCAAATATAGAAAAATAGGAAAGAACACGTTAGGTAAATAATCCGAATTTTTTAGTATTTTTGTTTTTTATAAAAAAACAGTGCTCAATACGAAAGTAGAGCCTAAATTATAATAATAATTATAATAATTATTATATATATATATATATATATATATATATATATATATATATATATATATATATATATTTTTGGTGGGACTTGAACACTGGCCGATTGTTTTCGCCTTGGTTTAATGTTTTTGGTTCTTTCTTGTTTTATTCACCATTTTCCTCGAGGACTCATTTTCTCTACTGCAAGTTGAGCTATCCTAGTTTTTATCCAAGCAGTATCACCATTCATATATATATATATATATATATATATATATATATATATATATATATATATATAGGTTAGTTAATTGAAAACTAGATATTAGCGACCGTATACGCGCGTGCTGGTGTGCATGCACTGGTAAGCAAATAAATAATTACCAAATACAGCCAAGAGATGTAGACATAATAGTGCTCAATTTGATTAGGCAGAGCTAAGAAATATATATTAATAAATACACATATACCTACGTTTGATTTGTGACATGAATTTATTTGGTTACTCAATTCATCGGACAAGAGATATCACTTATTGTTTATTTTTTAAAAAAGTATTGATCCGGTGTATTTTTTTCTGACAATTGTATATATAAGGATTGCGTCATTCAATGGATTGTTAGTAAGTTAAAGCTTATATTAAGTCTGTTAGCGAATATCTATCTATCTATCTATCTATCTATCTATCTATCTATCTATCTATCTATCTCAGTCTGTTCGTATCTATCTATCTATCTATCTATCTATCTTAATATTACTAACTGATTCATTGTATGATTACCTCTTTATAATATAAAATATATGCTGCTTAATATAATGTGTTGATATATACATATATATATATATATATATATATATATATATATATATATATATATATATATATGTGTGTGTGTATGTATGTATGCATGTATGTATGTATAAATAGAAAAGTGAACATTAAGGTCATCACTTAGAGGAAACAGGCTGTTTCATGCTAGACGCATTCGTCAAGCCACTCAAATAGTGTTGACTTTTATATTTACATACATATTTATCCCATAAATATAGCACACCTTAAGACTATATTTCTGCTAGTTAGTTTATAATAATCATATTAAATATTGCTGGAAGAATAAATTAAAATGAATTTTTTAAAATCAGTATATATATAGATATATATGAAATGAACTATTTCCAAAAATTATTTAATATATTTTCTGTTTAATTTAAGTATAATTTAAGTAAATGCTCTGTTTTTTAATTAACCATTATTAATGACATTTACGTACTTGAATTTTCGAAAACTTTTGTAAAAAATATGAGCTCTCCGATATATATATATATATATATATATATATATATATATAAGACAAAGAAAAAAGTAGGAAATATTCATCATGTCTAACATGTTTCACTTTTATTAAATCCTTATCAGAGAATTAGATATTGAGAAAAGAGTGGCACTCTGGCATTTTTACTTTTGCGTTATTTGATTTTCATTGGTCACTCAGGTTTCACGTTCTTTCGACTTGTTAAACAAACGTTTGTATAATTTGTGGCATTCCGAATTAAAGCAGAGACGACGCGTCTTTTCGAAGTTCCAAGAAATTAACGTATTCCAAGCATAACTGAAAAAAGGTAAACATTGCTTTATGTATGCAAGTGTATGGTAAATCTAGTTTGTGGAATTCAGATGGTGATGTATTTTCGTAAGTGTGTGTGTGTATGTGTGTGTGTGTGTGTGTGCGTGTGTGTATGTGCAGTAGACATTATATTTGGTGATTTTTAGCATGTCGATTTGGGAATATTTTTACATACATACCGTTTGATTGAGTTAAACATACGACAAAATTCGAACCTGAGCCCCTCCGCAACTTTGTAGGTATGTTCATGAATTACCTAACTCCATCAGCTTTTGCCAAAGGCGTCACTACATACAAGTACGTGACTCAAACCTAAGTTACAGAATGTGTAGGCTTGACACAAATAGCAAAAGGATCATTTTGGTGAATGTAATTACAGAGCCTACCGTGCTGACTAGAACTCTGACGATCCGAAATAAGTGGGTGTGGTCTGAATCCTGTAGGCGTAGAATCCTGAGAATGTCGAACTTTTGATACGAGACCGATACATGCTCGAAAAGGGGCAGTAGATTGGTTGCGGCAGTAAAGAAGTCAAGAACTCTTCTGAACTTTGCTCTTCCAAATTCCTTTGCGTAAACGTGGTTTCAGCGGGGAGACACACATATGAAGAGGATTGGTAGCTAGCCGACATGTTGACATCCGCTCTCTATCTCTCTCCATCCAACAAACGATACCTACTAGATTCAATCAAAAAATAAACCTAGCAAAAAGGAAACAGAAGAAAAATTGTCTGTCGTTGATTCAGTCTGGTGATGCAGCGTTGAGTACCTACTGAGGAATTGTCAATAGACCAATAGAACCCAGAGATATCACACAACGCAATAAGGGAGGTGTTGTCTAAGACTCTCCAGTGATAGGCATGAAGTAAGTTGATCCCATACATAAGGGAACTGGAATTTGGGGTGGGAGAAAAGGAAATATAATTCTAGCTCTCTTTATTATTATTTAAACCCAATTTTGCACTAGTTCATTGGTTTCAGACTTGTTTGCTTTAAATGATATGTTATTTTCCTACCGGGTTAATATTTAATAAAAACGAAAGAAAAACATTCCTATATTTGCAAATTGCTATGTCTTTCACACAAATAACCCCATCAGTCCAAGTACCACACCCTGGAGCAGTAATGTCGATAGGATAAAGTTTGATTAGGATTCCTGAAGTCCCAATCCGAAGATCCACCCAGTCACAAGTGTTTAAAAATGCATATTAGCAAGTATTTTGAGTAAATATCACTGAATACGCTCATGTTTGTGCAGATTGGTTTTACACGTTTGTTTAAAGTATTAACTGGATTGTTTAAATTAAGAAATCTATCTATCTCAGTCTCTTCGTATCTATCTATCTATCTATCTATCTATCTATCTATCTATCTATCTATCTATCTATCTATCTATCTCAGTCTGTTCGTATCTATCTATCTATCTATCTATCTATCTATCTATCTATCTATCTATCTATCTATCTCAGTCTGTTCGTATCTATCTATCTATCTATCTATCTATCTATCTATCTATCTATCTATCTATCTATCTATCTATCTAAGTCTGTTCTATCTATCTATCTAAGTCTGTCTATCTATCTATCTATCTATCTATCTATCTATCTATCTATCTATCTGCTCTACTCTAATCTACCTTATAAGTGAGGGTGGTGCCTAACAACGATATCTTGTTAATTGTTCTTTTGCAGGTGGGGTTAAAATAAGTTTTAACACATAATTCGAAGGGCTAGGAGTAAGTGGATATAGTTGTTAAAAAGGTCAAACAAATGATTTAATATTTATATTTTAGTGGATTTACTGCCTTCCATGGGTTGATAACGATTTAAAAAAATTCGTTTTTAGTTTTCAAATTTTAAGTTACTTAGTAAAAAATTGTTCTTGTGTCTGCATTTTGAGATAGGTTCTGATTGTTTATTTAGTAGTTTGTGTTCTATCTATCTATCTATCTATCTATCTATCTATCTATCTATCTATCTATCTTAGTCTTCCCTCTCTCTCTATTGATACTCTCATTTCTATTTAATCTGTTTTTCTGCTGCCTGGACTTTGACAAATTCATCGCATTGTCTTACATGAATCTTTAAGCTAGCTTGTTAGAAATGTTCGCATCAAGCCTGAGGTGCTACCCCCAACCTCGTGTCATCTGACCATGAAAATATAATAGTTTCCACCCTTTCCTTCGAGAAACCAAACCGTAGTATGGTTTTCAGGCACTTTTCAATGGCGCCGTCTTCTGGGATTTACACGCAAAGCTGATATTATGAAGATGTCTACGATATGACACATTAAAGTGGGGTACCATAGTCAGGACGGTAATATTGGAAGAACTTGGCCACAACCCAATTTTCTCCTACTGTTTGCCTTGTACCTTAAAAATAAATCCATTAATTCTTTAAAAATGGTTTTGTTTATGTCTCGGATATAAACCTGAACTGATATGTGTTTCCGAGAAAAATATCTCAGGGAGGAGGGTGTACTTTCCTTAGAAGGGAAAATAGACCTTTGCTGTGCTGTAAAATTCTTCATAGACGAGTTGTAAAGTATGCCTGATCAACAAGGTGGTTTCTGTCCACAAAGAAGAAGATCCGATCCCGACCGGAGAGTGAATTGACTTTATTAAGTTTTCTCGATAAGCAGATCGATAGACGATATATTAATGATCATCCAGTTCTATTCACATCTATCTATCTATCTATCTATCTATCTATCTATCTATCTATCTATCTATGTGGTCGTGGCTGTGTGTTTGTGCGAGCCTATATATATATATATATATACACATGTATATATACACACATATATATATTATAATTTTTCTATATGAAAAAATTATAATAAATAAGTATTGGTCTACTATCAGTATTCAGACCCCTTTTGAATTAATGCGGTGAACGTTAGAATATTTATGTTATTTTCGTTCTCATTATATATATATATATATATATATATGTGTGTGTGTGTGTGTGTGTGTGTGTGTGTGTGTGTGTGCGTGCGTGCGTTTGTGTCTGTGTGTGTTTGAAGATGCAAACCCAATGTATTGTATATGCAAAAGTTTTCACAGAAAGAAAATTAAAAAAAAAAACTCCTCTAAATAGCAAACTTGAAAACAGAATCCCGAGATACACACACATTCGTCGCCCTTCCTTCTCATGTCAATTTTCCGTAAATAAATGTTTCAAACTGACACAATTAACTCGGGTCATGGCCAAAATATTTTTCTCGTTCGTTACAAAAACACGAACTGCAATTTTTGCACAAATAAAGAAAAAATGTGGGTTTCTTTTGTCAGTATGTCGTGAAAAGATGAAGCTTATCTGGAAGAAAGAAAGAAAGAAAGAAAGAAAGAAAGAAAGAAAGAAAGAAAAAAAGACACTGAGGTTGGGAGAAGAAACCAATAAGGTGAGAAAGAAAGAAAGAAAGAAAGAAAGAAAGAAAGAAAGAAAGAAAGAAAGAAAGAAAGAAAGAAAGAGAGTGGGGAAAGAAATAGTGAGGAAGAAGAAAGAATGAGAGCAAAGGAGAAGAAAGAATGAAAAAGAGAAAAGAAATATTGAGTGAAGAAAGATAGAAAGAGGAAAAAGAAAAAAAAAGACCGAAAGAGAGCGGAAAGAACGAAAGAAAGAGTGAGAAAGAAAGAGTGTGAGAGAAAGAAAGAAAGAAAGTGATAAAGAAAGAAAGAGAATGAAAAAGAAAGAAAGAAAACGTGTGAGCGATAGTAGAGAGAAGAAAGAATGAAACAGCGAGAAGGAAAGTTAAGAGAAGAAAGATGGAGGAAAGGAGAGTGACTTAAAGAAAGAAATAGACAGAGTGGGGGGGTAAAAGTAAGAAAGAAAGAAAGGAAGAAAGAAAATAAGAGAATGAGGGAGAAGAAACCAAGACAGGAGAAGAAAGAATGAAAGAGAGAAAAGCAAGAGTGATAGAAGAAAGAGAGGAGAATAAAGAATGCAAAAGAAGGAAAAAGAGAAGGAGGAAAAGGAGGGATAAAAAAGAAAGAAACTGATAACTATGTGAGAATGAGAGAGTGGGAAAGAGAGAGAGAGAGAGAGAGAGATAAGAAAGAAAGAATGAAAAGAGGAGAAAAAAGAAAAGACTGAGAGAAAGAGAAAATGTGGAAGATAATGAAGCAGCAAGAATAAAGGAC